AATTATTTTCTTTATAATAACCTTAATAATATTAATTATTTCAAAAAAAATTAAATTTTTATTTTATTTTTGTTATCATAATAATAATACAAAGTATTTATTATTAAAAATAATGATTAATATCTATCAAAAATAGTAAATACACAAGGATGGATATTTGTTTCTTTTAGTTATTAAATATGGCTTTGTTAAAAAAATTTCCTAATCACTTTTAAAGAGATCTTTCTTCTCAATCGCCTTTTTTTTCCATTTATAAAATTCAAATCCAAAACCTTAAGTGATTCAAATTTAATCCATTTAAACCAACATATTCAATACGTTGACATATTAAAAATTAGAGAAATTTTATCATGCCCTTATAAATTTAAAGGATTTAGGAAATTCTGATTTTTTATTATATAGTATGTGAAGGTTTGATTTTCGGCAAGTTTATCTTTTTTCAAACATATTTTTTTTAAAAAAATTCTATATATATATATATATATATGAAACTCCTTGGATTTAATAAGTGTATTTTTGATGATCTTATGAACCATGATGAAATGAGATTCTTCACTTGTGTCCAAGTTATCAATGTTTCTCAAGGATTATTTGCATTCATAATGTTCAAAATAAATCCAAGAGACACTATAAGGAGACTAAATAGAAGATTCGCAAAATTTCCTTCTACTTTAGCAAAATTCCCTTGGATTAAGTAAGTAAATTTTTTATGATCCTATGAACCATGATGAAATGAGATTTTTCACTTGTGTATAAGTTATCAATATTTCTCAAGAATTATTTGCATTCATAAGGTTCAAAAATAAATCCAAGAGGTATTGTGAGGAGACTAAATAAAAGATTCGCAAAATTTCCTTCTACTTCAGCAAAAGAATCTTATTATGTGATTTGTTTGTTGTTATGTTTATTTTTATAGAACAATTGGAAATCCTTAAGTTAACCTTTAATCAGAAGAAAGAGAAAGTTGATTTTGATTTTTGTTTGCCAAAAACACATCACTTAGAAGAGGAAAAAAAAAGTTAAAGGTGAAAAAAAGAAAAAAAAAATCACACATTGCTTCATTTTTATTGGTTAAAAAAAATTGATTGTTTCAAAACAAAACAACCCCTTATATAAGGGCACTATAGTAACTCCCGATAACTGTTTCAAAACACAATAATAAATTTGTATATTTTATTTTTACCTTGAAAACAATTGTATGTTATCAATCATAGTAATTTTTTTTTAAAATAACATTTCTAAAGACATTTTATTTAGTTCTTTTATTATTAATTATTTAAAATCAATTTTATCGAAATTAATTTTTATAATGTTGGATCCTTATTTTGAACGTTGTTTGATAGGAAATGGTACATTAATTGATGATATTTTGTTTTTGATTTGGTGAATAATTAATGAGATGAATTTAATTACGATACATCTTTACTTGTATATCAAATGTGAAATTATTTAAGTTAAATGTCATTAGGACTATTATACTACTCGTAGTCAAAATTATTCTAGAGTAGTGAAGCATGATAGTTTAATTTCGTGGTAAACTATGCAATTTTCTAACTTTTAGATATTTGAGAGAAATTAAAAATTGATGGAGAAAATAATGATATTATTTTGCAGCTAAATGTTGCAAAAAGTTGGGTGTGTACTCAATATATATATATAATTCATAATTTTCGAAAATTCCTTGAAGAAATTGATTATGAAAAGTTATACTGAAAAGAATAATTCGTATATACTAAAGAATATTCAAAAGTTGTATTTTGGGCAGCATGAAATGTATATTCAACATATATAGTTGTGAAAAAAAAAAAAAAATCCATTTCACAGGCATCGAGTGGTTACTGGTAACGAAATGAAAACACAAGATGAGTACATGGATCTATAACAAATATTCTAATTGTATTGTATATATAGATGGATTGGATAGAAAGACAGTGAAAACTGAACCTAAGGTCCTTAGAGACAGACTCATGCACATCACCATGTTCCTTCTTTCTAGTTCCCTCTAAGCACAGTCCTAACCTTCTTCTCATAATCCATTGGTGTTGGTGGGTCCTTTCCCCCGTCTTGTAACTTGATGTGCTGTAATCACATCAACCATGTTTTTTTGTGCTTCCTAGTCACTTCACTTCACTTTGACACACATTTAATTAGTCTTCTCCTTCACTTCACTTTGCTACATTATTTAAATTTAAATATCCTTAAAATTATACACTTTCCTTTCATATATTTTTACAAACTACTATTTTGAATTTTGATCCTATATATATAACAAATAAATATTTATTTATTAAGGCTAATAAGAATAATTGAATTAGTTTATAAAGAATATATTGTTGGAAGAGCTCAGCCCTTAATATTAATATTGTTATGCACTCACTAATCTTATGCTAGTAGAATAACAAGCTCCCCCATTTACCCTTAGCACTTAGACCAAAAGAAAATTGTACATGTGCCAACTTCCAAAATGAATAGAACGATGAGAATATATATAATAAGTAGGACAAGAGAAGAAGAAGAAAAGGACTGAGAAATGGAAAATGAGGACCAGCTAGCTAATGGAGAAATTAAGCTTAATATCTTGTAATTGTAGCCACCCAAGTCCAACAAAACAAAAATGGGGCCCAATCCTAATAGAAAATTTAGCAAGATTATAAAGAAGGTAGACGGGTACAAAATAGGTTCATAACTAATGGCCCAAAAACCCAACCAAACAATATATCTGAGTAAAATATCTGTGCCTAAAATGTTCTTGTTTAGTGTATGCATACCCTCTATTATATTAGGTTAACATGCGCTTTCTAAGTGGATGCGTTGATGCTCTTTTTCTTTTTCTTAATGAAAGTTTTGGCGATAGGAAAGATAGTTCCTGCTCGATCAAAGCTGTATTATGTCACTATTGATAAACTTGCAAGTGTATAATTATACTTGAGAATCATTTAATAATGGGAATCTACTACATGAGCAAATCATCGTACGTAAGTCACATTCTTTTATTTTGTCTTTTTCTTCATAGTAACATACTTTTAAATCCATCTAATGAATTTACGATACCTACGAGAAAAATTCAAATCTCATTTATCCTATATTATATTATTAAAAAGGATTATTTATAATTTATTTACATATAAAATCTAATATTATTGGATATAAAAAATTTATTGGGAAAGATTAAATCTTGAAAATAGCATCAATAAAAAGTATGGAAATAAAAATATTTTTCACTTTTGTGACGAATTTTGTAAGAATGAGTTAAAAATGTTTGTCATCTTTTGAATAATTACAAATTATATACCTTTCATTAATTATCAAATTAGAAAGAAAAAATATATAAAATACCAAATAAACAACTTGTTAGAAAATATGAAGCCGATATAAAATTTGAGTGTACTATAATTAATAATCGTGTTAAGAAAGGTGTAACATGAGTGAGACAAAATGGCTTCTTCATCTTTTGTTTTAAAATAAATTAGTTTTCCATCATGATAAGAGAAAGCAAATTAAATACTCAAATACTTTATGTTTAAGCATATGTCACACATCAAAAACTATTGAAAAAGGTGAAAGACGGAACACTTGCGTTGTCGCGGGGGAAAACAATCTCGTACTAGACAGAAAAATAAGGAGGTGGCAGTGTGAAAATGTGTACGAGGTGAAAGAAAGTGTAACTTTATTACCAGAAGCACAGGGCACCAATAGTAACTCACATATTTCATGGTTTGCTTTGTGTCATTTTGAGGAAGAGGAACAGGAAATTAAGTAGAATGGGAGGTGACAAGTGAGAGAATTCTAGGATATTGAAAGGATTGGATTAGGATGTTTCTCCCACGTGCTGTAGAAACATTAACATGCTCTCTGCCACGTGGCAATGCTGCTGTCATCACCTACTAAACTCACCACCACCATGTTGTGCACTGTGTTTGCTTCACGCAAGCCCTTTTCTTTCCTATATTCCCTTCTCATCTTGCTTGCGTGGCTTTAAAGTTTCAAACTTTCAACCAAATTCAGCCCCCCACAACACAAAAAAACACTATTAGCTTAATAACCCTAACAAAACACTTTCTGTTCATATAAAATGAAATACACATACTCATGTGCCATAACACATAAAGAGCTAGAGAATGAAATAGAAGAAAAGAGGTAGCAAGTGAGATGATGTAATAGAAAAAAAAAATATACACGCGTTTATATAGCACTATTCCATAAGAATACACAAAAATAAAAGTTTCCCGTTTCGGAATTTTCTTTTACAAAACTCAAAAGTGTTTCTCACCTTTTTTAATTTGTTTGAGTTATGATCATATTTGTCCATCTTATAATGGGATGACATGGATTGAGTTACAAATAGATGATAAAAAGAAATGGCAGAGGGAAAAAAGTAATAAATGTATAATAGATGATTTGATTAAAAAGTGAGAGAATAATAAGATAAAACAAAGTGAAATGAGATTAAAAAATGTAGATGTATATTTATAGTACTTTTTATATATTGTTCTTCTATTAATTAGAGTTTCTTTATTTATTTATATATATATATATATATATATATATATATTAGATTATAATAAATAATTTATGTTATAGCACAAAAATATTTTTATTTATTGATTATATATATATAATTGATTGGTATAGATTATAGAGTATTTATACATGTTTTATTAATAATCTTCATAAAAAATTTGACTGATTACTTATGATAGAGTTTCTTTTTTCAACCAAATTTTTTTCTTTCATAATTAATATTTAAACTCAAAATTTTGATTAAAAGAATTGAGTGTAAATAAACTCAAACCTACAATTTGCTTGCCGGTACATATATATACTAAATTTTAATAATTATTTTCTTTATTATGAATGGAGCTTTTACTTCAATTAAATAAGACTAGTAAAAAAGACTTAAGAAATTGCGTCTTCCATTCATATACTTGTCATTAATTAAAAGGCACTAAACAGGATTACTGAAATCAAAGTGTGGATAAGCCAAATTAAGGCTAGTCCATCTCAAGTGAGTGACCCACCACCAAAAGCATTCTCTCCACATCAAATCAAGATCAAGTTAGCAAGTAACCCCTCATCACACCCTCATTATATATATCTTTCCAATTGCTGACCCACAAAACCTTTGAGATAATGGATTGTGGGGGTAAGATCGGTGGAGGAACTGAGCGAGGTGGGCCTTGTGGTGCCTGCAAGTTTCTGAGGAGAAAGTGTGTGAAGGGTTGCATTTTCGCACCATACTTTGACTCCGACCAAGGAACGGCTCATTTTGCTGCGGTGCACAAGGTGTTTGGTGCTAGCAATGCCTCTAAGCTACTCATGAGAATCCCTGCACACAAACGTCTTGATGCTGTTGTTACCCTTTGCTATGAGGCTCTTGCTAGGACTAGAGACCCCGTTTATGGTTGTGTTGCTCACCTCTTTGCTCTTCAACAACAGGTATATCCATCTCATAACTCCTTTATTTATTTTCCCTCCTTCATTATATACTCATTGCATTACTCAGGTTTAGTTCACTTAGTTGAATAGGATGCATGACAGTGACTGTCGTAAGTTTCTTGATATTATACTCGTTTTCTTTCTAATTGGTCATCATAGATCTCTTAATGTGTACAAAAATATAGAAGCAAATCCAGCAAGGGTTTAGTTATTTTGTTGGAGATTCGGATTGTTGCATTTCTCAGTAAACACCAGATAATGCATGTTTGTCAGCTACTTAAATTTAGAAAACAATATCTTAACTTTTTTCAAAAATCTTCTGTTAAAAAAGATTATTTCTCCGGAATAATTAAATTGAACTAGGAAGGCCTGTCAAAGTTAAGAGAGTGCAGATTAATAATACCCTCTTGATATTATCATGCTTTCTATTTATTATTGTTTCTTTTTATATTCCTTGTGTTTTTTAAACTATGAACCGAATGTGGGAATAGTACTAATGCTAACTTGCTTGTTCTTGAATCCTTAGTTCACATACACTGCTAGATCAATCATTCACCACTACATTAGGCTTCGCTTATTTTATTTTAAGGAAGAAGATGAATAGGGATTAATTAAACGCACAACTGCTAGAGATCATGCTAACATGCGCCATGGTGTGCATTAGTCCTACATTGTACTCTCAATTGTATAGTCGCTTTGACAAGTATCACTGTTTTGCATTCCTCGTAGGTCAAGATCTTACCATTTAGGATAATATTATAGTTTGTACAATGTACTGTTTGCTTTGACACGTTTGTTAGCTTTTGGACAATTTTTCTATGGAAGCCATACACTACTTAATTAGGACGCCCCTATGAGTGTAGGTAGGGTTTGTGATTCCAAGGTACCCATATTTGCATAATCAAGCACTATACTAAACTACTCTCTAATTAATACTACCATGCTAGTATAAGAAAACCTACCCAAATAAGTTTACATGATTAGATTTAGCATAAAAATTTGGGCACCTGAAATTCATGTGTTGTGAAAATAAGGTTCTCAATAAATGTACAAGACTTTGTGAAATTCATGTTAATAATTAATATTTAAATAAAGAGAGAGGTGGTGGTGGTAGCCGCCAACTGGTGGAGCTGACTATAGAGGCTTGTTTGTTGCTTGCCGGAGCTACCAAGCAAACGCAATTAGCAGCTCGAGAAATAATATTCAAATATTTCTAGTCTTGACTTTCAAACACGTAATTTATGGTACACATTAGTATATTAGCAAATGGTAATCAATGTTTAATTTACAATGTATTAAATAAATTAATTAGCTGAAATTAATGAAGATGTCTATCCTTCACGTGAATTAATATTCCAATAGTTTCTTTAAATTTGATTTCTGAGAAATTTTTAGTCCAACCTTTGTTTAACTAGGATTGATATCTGATTTTTTAATTGAAATTTGGTGGTGTTAATAACTTTTTTTAACGTAATAACCGCTGAATAGTTGGACATTGTCTCAATTATATGTTAAAAATTTAAAATCCACACGCTTGTATATATATATTCCATGTTATTATATTTAGCACGCTGACCAACTCATGAGTTACCATACTGAACTATTAGTCCAACCAATGAGTTATTATTAGTTGAGTTGCTGAAAATAATTTTGATTTTACTGCAATCTACAATGTTAAGAGTTAATTTGAATTTGAATCTTGGATAAGGAGGGTGGAAGACTTTACCTAGCAACCTCTTGTATAAGGAATTAGTCTCATAACTGTGTTTATAAAAACAGTACATAACCAAGATTAAAAAATAGTTTACTAACTTTTCACTTTATAAATCACTTAACTCAGTTTCACGTGCTTCGCTATACTATTCTAACCAATAGGAGTTTCACAAAACGCATATATAAGATGGTTGAGATATGTAATTGTTGAGTTTAATTTTGTGTATGTTGGAGAACTTATACACTTAATATTTTTATTTTATTTACAAATGGTAAATGTCATCGGTTTATCCATGAAATTATACAATATCACCTTAACTTTAAACATTCATACACTACATTAAAATTAGGTTTTTGTGACAATTAATTTATTCTTTAGCGACCATATAAATGGTCATTATTTTTTTTACCAGCATTTAGATAATGGCTGGTGTACCCAGTGTCACTAATACCATTACCGACATTTATATAAAATGCTGGTAAAGACCTACTAAATTGTCGGGAAAACTTATTTTTTTTTAGTGGCAATTTTAGTAGCCATTTTAAAGGCTATTAAAAGTTATTTTTTCAATTGTCTCATTTCCATCCATTTAGTGACTTTTATTTTTTGCTAGTAAAACTTTAAATAATTTATTCCTATAATTTTCTTTTCTAAATTCATAACTTATATACATTTTTTTTATCTCTAGTCGATGTGAGATTTGTAAGATGAGGGTTGTCTTCTATTTATATATTTTTTAAATTGTCTTATCTCTTAAGAGATGTGAGATTTATAAGGTGAAAGTTGTTCTCTAATTGTTTTATAACACTATTAAACTTGGTAATAGTGGGTGATTTGATATTAATTTATTATAGTGAATTAAAAGTCTAACTCAACCCTATAAATCAACTTATAAGGTGATAGTTATTACTCACTTATATACTATTTAATTATCTTATCTCTAATCGATGTGGGACTAGTTTTTTTCAATAAATAATTGTCGCTAATAATAAACTTTAGTGTAATATAAATACACTTTTAGTGGCTATTATATATTAGCCATTAATATTTTTATTATATAATTAAATAGCGGCAATTAAATTATTGCCATTAAACAATTGTCGTTAAAAACAATTTTTGTTGTAGTGATATATTTTAAATATTATATTATACATTAAAATTTGTGTTACTATTTAGTTTTTGAAATTGTATGAAACTTTATAAACTTATTCTACTTAATTAAAATTAAGAATATAAAGTTGTAAATTTTATTTATTATAAAATGCATGTTGTAAGTTATAGAACAGCAGAACCTACATATTATATAT